TACTCTTTTACCAATGAATAGTGGGATTGACCGTCACATTATAACGCCCCCACCGCTGAAAGAGCGGGCATGCTTGGTGTGACGGGGATTCGAACCCGCGACCCACAGATTACGAGTCAAGCGCCCTAACCACCTGGCCATGCCGGGCCCATTTTATAAGTAACAACCATGTCTCACTATTCGTTCAGATCAGACTAGAATAGCCCAAAAGATTTGTGAACCTTCGAAAGATTGAAGCAAATATACATAGCTTTTATTATCAGCCACAAAAGTAATCTGAAATATATATACGTAAAAAAAAGGCATAATTTTGTAATTTATTTCTGTTTGAAAAAGTTCGTATTTCTTATTTTGATAGTTATACAAGTAAAACGCTTAAAATATTTAACTTAAATAACATTTAATAATTAGTTTTGCGTGATAATTAAAATACAATGTCTTTCTTTTAAGAGAATGGATTTTATTCTTTTGAATTCTAACCCTGATTTTAATCATATACGTATTGTTTTATCGATATTTATGACGTATTTCAGTTGTTCTCAAAAGTATTTATAATTATTGGATAAAAATAATCCTCCTGGGGAGCTATTTTGAAACAGTACTGTATTTGTGAACAGAACAATTAATTCATGGTAGAATGATAAGCGTAAAATACTTTGTGCTGAAAAATAAGATTATGTATTAATTTTCTTGTTATTGCTCTCAAACTCTGAGAAGACGCCAGATTGGCAAATATTTCGTGTCTCCGATCACAACTTATATGTTTATTCTGTGTTACAAACAAGATAATACTATAACGTTGTCATAATTAAGTTCTGAAATACACAATCTAGCAATGAGAATAAGAGACTGTTTAAGGACAAATTGTATTTATAGTATTCCTTTGATATTGCTAGCTAAAAATAAGTAAAATTAGAACTGGAACATGTAGGTATTGTGAATTCCCCATTTCCTATGTAGAAAAAAATGTTCAACACTTCTATTTAGAAACCTAACGAAGTGGCGATAAAGTATGATAGGGGATTTGCTTAGGAAATGAGTGAATATATTAGTTTACGAACAAAGCTACACAACGGGCTATCTTTTATTTGCCTACCGCAGCTAACGAACCCCGAATATTAGCGCTATAAACCCTCAATTGTACATCTGTTCCATCGATGGGCAAACTAAGTGCGAAGGATGGAAAGTGTCGAACAGCCAGATTGACTTATTATTAGCAAATCATCAATTTTTATTATATTTGTCATAAATATATTTATATCGATGGAAAAAACTTATTTTCTACGGAATTGGAGACCAGGCGTGGCTTAGTCATTAGCGTTTCGGACTGTAGATCCAAGAGTTTATGGTTCGCATTCCGGAAAAAAAAACGAAAAAAAAACACATTATCCTTTGCATTTTAGGGCTGCGAGTGCATTATATAAATGACAGTCAAATCCTACTACGTAACTAGGATAGCACAAGACATGGCGGGGGGGGGTGCTATTGACCCCCGGCTAGTTTCTTTGTAGTTTATAAGCTCAAAATTTGGATAAACTTTGTGTAGTTTTGCGCGATATTCCGAAAACAATATACTACAGAGCTGAATTATTAACAATTAATCTACTTGTTTCGCATTTCGATTATTATATATCATAGTAATAAACAGCCTGAAAAGTTTTCCTACTACAAAAAAACAAACAAAAACGTCCTTTGTATTTAGTAGTCGAAAAATACAAAATACTTAGAAAATATAAATTACTGTTACAACAAACTGCTGATGGTTTTATAGTCAATGATTCATACATTGTTCTTTTAGGCATAAAAGTCCAAATCAACTTATAACATTTTTCATGTTTACATTTAAGTTCCAAAATGTATGACAAATTAAACTGTTGTTTTCAGTGTCATTAGAAGGCTGTTGCAAAGTTGTGCCCCAACTGGTAAACATCAAACGCTTTTAGTGTTTTTTAGATAACGATCTTAGTTTGTTTTGGATTTGTAAGCATCTAATTCTTCTTGTAACTACAATACGATCTTCAGAGCATTTAATGTCAAACTTCAAAGAATTCGAATTCTCAAAGCTTCTTAATCTTCCTAAGTGATCAAAAAAATTAGATCTTAAAAAGTGTTCTCGATTGTGTTTTCTCATTCATGATCTTTAATGTTGTGAACTTTGAACTGCATGCTAACAATGCTATTTCTCGAGATTGCTTTTATCAACTTTTTATCCAATCCGTATGATCATATAGGTTGAAACAACCAGAACTGTCGTTTAAAGACAATGGACTATCAGTGTTTAGCTATGAATGTACTGCAAAAAATTCTCTATTGCGAAAAGTATATCACAGGAATTGTCGACACACAGTTTTATAGCTTTCGAGACTGTAAAAGTTTCAACAAGAGATTCTTGATTATGTCAAATTGATTTATAGGAAGATGAACGACAGGATAGAGAGACAGCAGAAACGGCTTTCGTAAGGACGAGTAGAACTGGTGTGATGGTGAGCTGTTACACCTACCCCCCATCAACAGGATAGAGAGACAGCAGAAATGGCTTTCGTAAGGACGAGTAGAACTGGTGTGATGGTGAGCTGTCACCCCTACCCCCCATCAACAGGATAGAGAGACAGCAGAAACGGCTTTCGTAAGGACGAGTAGAACTGGTGTGATGGTGAGCTGTCACCCCTACCCTCCATCAACTAGAAATATAAAGTGAATATCTGAAACTTACAATCACTCAAATTTATCAGTATCCAAAACCTAAGTCTAAAGGAAATGACATAGATTATATAGATTTTAAGAAATATTGGAAGCGGTTATTTGATGAAGTTTGAATCTGATAACCTGGTGGAAGATTTACTGTCATTCACTCACAAAATTTAGTTGTTTTTCAGTGATTTCAATCAGAAAACCCCTTTTAATTATGGTTGTCTTGTTACTGTTACTATCTTTAAGAAGCAGAATTGAACCGTCGTGAAAGATTTACAAACGGATTCTGTGCTGTTGGTCGTTATAGCTACCAAAAAATAAAAAAAATATAAAGATTGAAAAGATACAGTCGGATGTTACAATAAAACGTCTGTAATATCGGAACTACCCAGTGTTCCCTGATACTTCAATGGTTTTGTATGGCTGGGCGACAAACAAGTTGTGATTACAATATAAGAAGGTGTCCAACCATGCACGTAAGTCAACTTGCTAGTTTATCTTTGTATGGAAGTTGAAACGAGAATAACAATACCGTTTTCTAAGTCCCTATATATTGGCTTTTGTAATATACTTCTATAACTTTGAGTTGCTGGAAAGGATTCTCTGATGTCCTTGCACTTTGAAGAAGGTGAAAAGGATTACAGAGAAGAGTGGAAGTTTGCAGGATTTCTTTCATCATCAGGACAGACAAACTGAACACCATTGTTTCTGATTAATTAAACTTTGAGAACCGTGTAGAGCGAGTAACGCTTTGTAAAGAACTTAGTTTCAAACAAGTGAATATATCAATTCGTTTTAGACACTTAGAAAACAAAATGCGGATGATAATTAAGACAAATTAAAACCTAAAATCAAATCAAATATTTGTATGAAAATACTCTAACATGCAAATCTTGGTTTAAATGTTTGTTACAGAAATTTAAACAAACA